AGAGAGAGAGAGACAGAGACAGAGACAGAGAGAGACAGAGATAGAAGCGGAAACGCCGCGGACGGAGTCAACGATCGGGTAACGTCGCGGTAACGTTGCCGTCGGGTTCGTCGGCGCGGGCGATGACGGCGGGTGTCGCAGGTGCAGGGGACCCGCCGCGAACGGAATCGACGAGGAGGCCGCGCGATTGATCGATGCCGTAGCCGCGATGCGCGCCGTGGCCGTGCCGCCGCCGTGCGACAACCGAGACGTCGTTAATCGAACCGTCGATTGACCGAGCGGAATAGGCGAGCGTGCGTATTCCGGGGGACGGGGCGGGCCGCGCACCTTCCCTCGACCGAGCGCGAAGGGCGGACAGGGAGAAAGAGAAGGAGAGAGGGGGGAGAAGGAGGAAGAGGAAGGAGACCGAGCGAGTAAAAGCGAATTCAATTCCTACGCTCGTCGGTGCCGGAACTGCAGCCCGATAAACCATCCGTTTCTCTCGGCGCGAGAACGAGAGCGCGCGACGGCGGTTTGCGTTGTGAGAGAGAGAGAAATAGAGAGAGAGAGAGAGAGAGAGAGAGAGAGAGAGAGAGAGAGAGAGAGAGAGGCCGTGACGAGGAGCGGCGAGAAGGAACGAGAGAGAGAGAGAGAGAGAGAGAACAATTGGGAGGGTTAGATGAAGGAGGGAGTCCGTCTCGGTAGAACGAGTGCGAGCACAGCGACGAGGAATCCGGAGTAGGCACGACCGAGGGAGCGACCGATCGGGCGGCGCGTGCACGCCAAGCCGTGAAACCTCGCTTCATGATGGACGAGTGCATGCTCAACGACTTGTTGGAGTGCTCGGTGTGCCTGGAACGGCTCGACACGTCCAGCAAGGTGCTGCCGTGCCAGCACACGTTTTGCAAAAAGTGCCTGGAGGAAATCGTCAGCACCCATCGCGAGCTACGCTGCCCCGAATGCCGCGTCCTCGTGGACGCAAAGGTGGACGACCTGCCGCCGAACGTGTTGCTGATGCGCATCCTCGAGGGGATGCGCAACGCCGCGCCGAAGAACCAGGCCAAGTCCGCGCTGCCGTCGTCGAGGTCCACCTCGGCCGGCACCGCCGTGCCTCAGCGGCTGTTCGGCGGCCACCAGGTCGCCCCGGCGCCCATCGTCACCGGCAACCTCGCGCCCACCATCGGCTCCGAGCCAGCGGTGCGTCATTCCAACGCTGCTGCCAAGCAGGTGCATCTGCACAACCAGGCGTACGGAAGGGCGATCTACGACTACGTCTCCAAGGTGCCAGGGTATGTATCGCACACTCGCACGCTCTACACTTCCGGCCTATGTTTGCACTAATCCCGCTACGAATATCCTTGTTTGTCCTTGCAGCGATTTGAGTTTTAAGAAGGGCGACATAGTCATCCTGCGGAAGAAGATTGACAACAATTGGTATTTCGGGGAATGTGGCAATAATCATGGTGTCTTTCCTCTGTCTTACGTTCAGGTATGGCGCAAGGATCTTGCGTAATTGAATGCTCTACTTCGTTTTGCGTAACTGTACTCGTTGTAATTTGCCACGCTGCAATTTCCAGGTGATGACGCCTTTGACACCGCACGTACCTCAATGTAAAGCGCTGTACGATTTTAGGATGACAAACGATGACGAGGATGGTTGTCTGACTTTTAACAAGGTAGCGTCATCTATTTCTAATCGCTTGCCACTAGGAACCCTGTGAGTGAGGGCATTCTCCAGAGGGAATAGGCTAGTATGAGTTTATTCGAGTGTCCATCTTTCTCCGGTGGGCGTGAGCGAGTCACGGGAGTCAGAGGAGGATATACGCCCAAATAAATTGATACTATCTTTTTTTCTCGGAAGGATGACTCCGCTGTCCTACAAGCAGTCTGTAGTTAATACGTCTATGCCTGCCATTGACGTGTTGCCGTCACACGTGTAAGTACAAAATGTGAACGTATTTTCAGGGAGAAGTGATCAGCGTTATCAGAAGAGTGGACGAAAATTGGGCGGAGGGTAAACTCTTGGACAGAATCGGCATCTTTCCGCTGGCTTTCGTCGAGCTGAACAGCGTCGCGAGAGCCTTAATGAAACTCTCGACCAAGTAAGTGCAACGTAATTGGCGTGTATTTCTCAGAAATACATGTATATACGTTAATTGTTTGATCAGTGTGCAGCCGGGGCCGTCGAGGGTAGCCCCGCCAACTCCGACGAACGAGGAGACCACGCCGTTGATACCAACCGATCACTCGCGTAACGTGCAGACGACAAGTCAGTCTCGACCGCAGTTAGTCCAGGTACGTCACTCCTGATCTGCGCGATTCAACGTGAAATGTATTTCGTAGGATACGATGTTGTATCGCACAAATGCTGCACACAGGTGTCCGATTCTGTCTCGAACGTGTCGTCTGGCGGCAGCTCCACGACCACTACTCCGAACACGCCCAACAGTTCGACGACATCCAGCAGTTCCAGCACTGCCCCGAGCAGCCCCGGCAGTCCCGCGACCTCGCCGCCCGCGGTCGGCAACAGGCATAACGTTAAACGTCATAGTTTCACTGCCGTCAATACAGGTCATCATGCACATCCCCATCATAGACATAGCGCTGAAATACTTAGTCCTCCGGTAGACAGTGCCCCTAATAACGCCAATAATAGCGGAGGCAATGAATCATTTTCCTCCTTACAAGTAAGGAAACAACATTTTCTTTCTGACAATTTCTGGATAGCTACATACGCGAACTGCTACCTCGATCAATGTACAATTCTCCGTCGCTTTTGAACGTCTTCTCTGTCCTCTCCTCTCGTGAGATTTGTGCTGAATCTGAATAAAACCCGGTTCTATTCTAGACGAGCGGCGGCTGCACGGATCACGGTCTTCGTCACAGACGAAGCGGCAGCAGCGACCTTGTTCTCGCCCAGGCGTCGCAAAATATTCCCGCTGGTCAGACTACCGGCGCATCCGGTGCTACGCACTTGCCAGCGGCGTACGTGGCGCTGTATCCGTACAAGCCCCAGAAGGCGGACGAGCTTGAGTTGCGAAAGGGCGGGATTTACATGGTGACGGAACGCTGCCAGGACGGATGGTTCAAGGGAACGTCCAATCGTACGCAGAAGTGTGGGGTTTTCCCTGGAAATTACGTCGCGCCTGCCAAGTATGCGACTACCTTTCAATCTCTGTCTTACCATACAATTAGCCACGGTCGTCCGCGTTACAGTCTCCGTTGTATTTGCAGCAGATGTCAACGCGGACTGTGTCGCGGATCTCCAAACTCACCGAGCCAGCATCAAGGCTCGCCACTGTCAAACGCCCCGTCGAGCGCAGAGTCGCGTCTGGCGGTGACGTACACGAAGAGCAAGGGTCCGGCGCCGCAGCCGTACAATCCTCGCACACTGCCGCCGCCTGAATTACCACCGCGCGCCATCAGCCCATCCACGACGACCGTGTCCTCGTCCTGGCACGGCGCCGCACAGTCAAATCAGGGACCGAATCAAGAAACTAGTCCGCCCCGACACAACGACCAGAACGCAGCCGCCACCCCGCTCGGGCGCAGTCACAGCGCGGTGATGACCGCAAATATTCGTAAGTAATTTTTAATATAATCTCTTTTTCTCCTCGGTGTTACCGAATTAAAGGGCATTTTTCTTCAGCTTCCCCGGGTAAACAAATCGCCGTGTCGTCGCTGCAACCGGCAGCGGGTATCAATAGCGCTAACAACGGCTGCAGCAGCGCTACCATCCCAGCTCCTTCCTCTTCGACGGGCGACATGAACAGGAGCCCGAATAATACTCTGCGCGTAGCGGGTGGCATCGCGCCGTCGAACGCAGCCGCGACGGCGTCCAGAACCGCGGAAAAGGTATCATTCCCGCGATAAGATTATTCCGATAGTATGGTAATGCATAATTTATACACGCTTATGAATTGCAGCCCAAGGAGAAGAAGGATAAGTGCGTCTCCTTGATGCGGCGCTTGACCAATATCAAGAAGTCTAAATCGCCTCCACCTGCTACGTACTCGATGGATAATCCTGTATTCGACGACGGTAATTCCGTCAATCCGATGCACGTCCGGTGAGCACACAGTTAACTTGGATTATCGCGAACCTATGGATATATGTATGTGTGTGTGCGTGTCGTGCGCGTGTGTGTGTGTGTGTACAATCATGTATATTATAATCCGAAAGTCGAGAACAACGTTGATCTTGCAATTTGCACGTTCTGATAATCGGTCTTGCTCGACATGTATCCCCAATCTAATCCCGCTAGTTTCCGTATGCACATACATGCATTTTTTGTGTACATTACGTGTTCTCGGATTGTCAAGCAGTTCGTATGCGCGCGTGTGAATGCTCGTCCAAGCGTAAGTTCCAGTGTTTTAAGTAAAAGCGCTCTACTTTTTTCAATGTTTTTTTGCCAAGAACGTTGCATGATCGTCGCATCACCAATAATTACGCACACGTACCGAATAGATAGGCAGGTGGCAAAGCGGCCACCCGCGAATACAATATTTACATCATGCTTTGTGCATGACACAAACTGCACGCCTCGAAATGTTTCTCTAATCTTGTGTTGGGACGGGGCGGGTGGGCGAATTGACAATCGCAGATCGGGCTCTTGTCCAAGTCAGTTGCTACAGGTGGTACCTACACAGGAATTAAACGCTTCAAACAGCCCACACCGCTTATGTCCAGGCTCTGTGCAGGGGCACGTCACATCCTCACAGAGACTGAAATACAAGGAGAGACCCTCCTTGCCAGTATCGGTAATCCAGAGGTTAGTCGTTTGTAATTCTAAATATGAACCGGCCTCTAAACTCCTTCGCGTACTTTGCCAGCTGGCGGATCAATTACAGTTATTCATAAAGTGCAAAGGGACCAATCTTTTTATAAGAGAAGCTCTGCATCTTTTATATTTTACGACAATTAATACAACTGTAAGATTCGTTTACTTTTATGAAAGTACAGGATGACAGATTATCCGACGATACACTATCCTAACGTGAAATTAATACCAATTGTTACTTGAAGCAGTCGTTCTTAATTTTCACGACGGAGACACGCTTCGTGTGTAAGTCGATATATTTGAGAATTCTGTCAGATTCGATTCCTCTCTTTCTCTCTCTCTTTTTTTTAATACTAACGTTTGCAATGTATCGCGAGGTAGAACTGCATTTCATTTCGAGGTAAGCTTAGAAATGTCTCGATCACATTTATAAAATTTATTTTGCATTGCTGCATAATTACCAGTATACATCGCAGCATTATAGCACGCTATCTCGCACAAGGTAAACTTTATTTTACATAGCAATTTAGAGAAACATCGATTGCAGATACTTTGCATGTGTGAAAACTCCCCAATGTGATAACTGCGATGAATCCATTAAATGTTTACCGTTTGTTATATAGTTCTCTGTTAATAATTCTCTGTGCAAAATGCCATTTGGATGCATTTATTTATTCACGCTTGTGTGATGCTCAGTCTACATAACGTTGGCACATATTTTGTATCTGTATAGCAGATTGCTGCCGCGCAATTCTCTGCATTAGTAGCGACAGTCTTGTTACAACCAGGCACTTTATTCCCATCTAGATCCAACGAGTCCGGTGCAATGGTATGCTCGACCGTTGGAAATCACCATCGCAAGAGCAATTCTCTGGACGCCGGAATGGGAAAGCAAATGAAGCAGCAATCGTCGCGCGACCGGTAGGTATAATTTTGCCCCTTTAAATGCCCGAGTTTAACTCTCGTCCAGCTTTCGCCCGTCGGTCGCCAAATTACAACGTTCCACGTTGTTCCATAACAATTTGGTTCGATTTCAGCGCGGGGTACAGATTCCGTTGCATCGTACCGTATCCACCTAATAGCGAGTTCGAGCTGGAGCTACGCGTGGGGGACATAATATACGTGCAGAAGAAGCGCGACGACGGATGGTACAAGGGTATGCAGCAGCGTACCGGCCGCACAGGTCTATTTCCGGCGAGTTTTGTGGAAGCTTTCTGAGACCCGACGCATGGTCGCCTAGTGTTAGAAACTTGTATATAACTTGGCCTTTTGTGTAAGTATTTACACGACATATTCAGATTCGGGATTAGCCACCCGATAACCGGCACGTGATTCGCGGGTGTGCTTGTCGTTGGTTTTTCCCTGACACTCTCTGGGATGTCATTGACTTGAAACCGATTAATACGTGCACGTCGTATCACGCGTGCCGTGTCACGAGCTGTGCAATATATGCGTGTGCACAGCAATTGTGCGAAGCTAATGGGCCATTAATTAGCGTGTTGTAATAAACGCGCCGTGTAAGTGACCGACGACGCGTCGAGTTAATGAATGCGTTCGCGTGGTGGGCGCATAACAGGAGGTTTTAGCGTAGTACAATTATACGTATTTCGTATGTAAATATGCACAAGAGATGACGAAGAGTAGTACACGATGTTGAAACTACTCGGAACTTGATACTGCCATCGGTTATGTAGGCGTAACTGTAACGAGATAACGAGATAATTCATTTTGCGCAACGTTACTGCCATTTGCGATCGTAAGGGAAGAAATATCAGTTTCCCGTTTCGAGCTGCTGATTTCGCACTTGCTATCTTCCTTTTTTTTGACATGCGCACAATGTATACAAGAGAGATTGATGTGGGTTGTGTAATAATCATGCTTACGCGCGTGAAGCCATTCATGACACGTAATTAAATGTAAAATTATGGAGTACACGGAAGAGAGGAAAGAAATTGCGTGTTGGGGAAAAAGAGGATACTCTTCAGAAAAATCTAAATGTCTCGGGGCAAATGCACACGTAAATTAATACGAGTAAATTAATTAGACGTGTCTGTGCGATGGTGCGCTTGAATTCTACCAACAATGTTGAAGTTGCGATTGTCTAGATAGGACTGTGTTTGTATATGGTAGGCCAAGTTAAAATTTGAAATTCCACGAGATTTTTACATTTTGACGAGATCTAAACGCATCATCGCACGGATGTTTATTTGGTCCTGGGATATTTAGGATTGTGCATCCATATTTATTATCGTACTGGGCTTTACATAATTTTCTCTTCCTTAATCTGCCATTGTAGACGACTGGCTTATTTACCACTGATAACTTATGCTTCTGTGTGAAAAGATACATCACACGAGAGCACAACCAGTTGGTGATTTTATTATTGACATTGTTTAAGACTGGGCTATGTTTTAAAATTGTTGAGATTATGTAAATGTCTTTTCTTAGCGGGTATATTCATTGTATACCTTCGCCGTACAAAGGAAGATGTTCTATTTTAACGAACAATTCGGATTGTTATAGACAATTTAGCTAAAGTATTTAGAAAATGGCCTTGATACGCGCAATGTTGATGTATTATTATACACTTGGTATACACCATTTTATAACTCGATTTATAACTTGTTTTCTAATTTATAAACGCAGGCATCCATGGCATGACGATGAGTTAGTTTAAACAGCTAATTCCGGATAAATATTCAATAAATTGAAGTGCTTCCATTATCTGATTAATGATCAGTATGTAGATATAAATTTTGTTACGTTCTTTATATTTTCTATTATTATTATTCTATTATTCTTATGAATTGTACAATTTTGCGCAGTCGGTTTTTATAAATCTTTATACATACGCCGTTAAAACATGTTTTATTGATTAAGATTATCAATTATATTAATTATACTATCGACTTTTAGGCATTATGATTAAGTCGCGAAAGTGTACCTTATTTCGATATGTTATTCAATAATTATATACATCAATTGTACATACATTACGCGTGTATAAATATGTAGAAACGTATATTTGTATATATACATATATATATATATATATTCGTAATGCTCAATTCATTAATCGTATATGAATAAGTGATCTGACTTATTCAAATTTAAACACGTGTATTGCACAAATCCAAGTGTAAACGAGAAACTTACTCATGTCGTACTCTATAATTTTGATCGCACATGTATACGCGTACGTATATTTACGTATATATCCTCTGGGAACATATATTTATATTAATTATGGACCTTTAATGGCACATTGTATATAATTTTATTGTATACTTGACATAGGAGTTTGCGGATGTACCTTTATCTGACTAGAGGTAGAATCCAGTGTACACACACAACGAACAATATTATAATACAAAAATATAGGAAACATTGCACAGTACATTATAAAGACGAAAGTCACAAAGTGATAGTTCACTTAGACAGCGAAAGAGAAAGTATCCTCTCTGCAGTATACTTTCTCTCTCAGAATTTTTATCATTAATTTTATCGATGAAGCAACACTCAATGCGCATTGCTACGCTATTAGTTTTACATCATATCTTCAACGAATTAATACATGCAAATCGTTATAAATATAATCGTAACATCTGCAAACTCCTATGATACGAAACATTTCGTTGTCCTCGTTGAAATACAAAGCAAACGGATACCGAAAATCGACAATTTACGTTACGATCACGCAATAATTGCAAAAGAGATAACCAGAAGCGTCCATCTCTGTCATTTGAAGTCGAGGAAAGGACGTTGCCTGTAAATTTACGAGCGAATAATTTTTTGTGGCCATCAAACTATAGAAAATAAAACCTAGAAGGATTAGCGACAAGATTTAGGAATCTTGTCGACGTTAACAAAGTCTACATTGTGGTACGAGGAAAGTGTGACTTAGAGATTCTGAACGACTATATACGCGTAGGGAGAGATGTAATTTTATAGCTATTCGTCCGAATGGAAAAGGTGGCTGGATATATTTTTTTATGTCAGTCACTTCAGCGCGGAAAAAAGTGAACGACCGATTGACCATAGGATCGAATTTAATCGAATCTAGAATTATGATAGTCAGGAAAAAGAAAATATCTCTTACACTCTTATGCGAGGGGCCACACTGCGCATGCTGTAATACATTTGGCAGTCCATTGTAGCATGATATTTAGAAATCGGAGAGAGGATAGTAAATAAAACGTGAGATATAGATATAGATATATACATATTTATATGCAAAAAAAAACTCGTCTATTTGTGTTCATGCAGATCATTGAAATCGTATCTTATACAAATGATTAATGTGTCATACGCACAATGTATTTCATGTTTTGCATTTCGATCTTGCATATCCATCTCCGACGAAGAATGTAAATTTTCGATGACGGCTTCTATTTTATTTTACATCTCTTTTAGTACATCTCCGTGGCGATTAAATTATACGATTGAATTCTTTATGTCATACTAGAGCGAAACTGCGTAGAAACTATTTATACACAGGCATACATATGTGTGTTTTATATGACGTACACTTAAGTAATTTATTATTAGTGGCATGTAAAGAAGATACTGCTAAGTGGCGGGTGGTATATCAGATCGGCTGTAACGAGAGAGATTAATTATTATTGTCGCTACTTTACATCGCGCGCTACACAAAAGTCAGGCGTGACCCGACACGCCAAGGTGTAAGATCATCTTCCGCGTAATTATGTCGTTGATTTAACATCGTTGCCCGTTTGCTTTTGCGTAAGGAGAGCCACAGATGTTCAATACCGCTTTCACAGTAACATCAGCAATAAATCAATGAAAGCGCGCATGCGATGCTATTAGCCGCCTCTGTGGATTGTAAATAAGTTACTACGAAATCTGGCGTTCCCGCGACGTTGCAGTATAAAAGAAACCGAATCATGTCAGTAAAGCCATACTCTCATATACAGACAAAGACTATCCTGCGTTTCGCACGAGGTCGGAATCTGTCTAGGTTGCAGAACAGGTACACGTAGCATAGGAATGTAAGACAAAGATCCGAGTCAAGAGCCTTCGTTTAGACCAAATGTGTTTCTAGCACTTCTTTCTTAAGGGAAAACTTAGAATAGTCATTATATACCGATTACTACCTTTACACGCTACTTACGCTACTCGGTATTTTGTCACTAACGTAACGATGTTCCAACAAGTCTATGTCGATGTCGTGTCCAAGCGTAATTTACACGTATACATAGGTATCGTTTAATATTTAAATAGCATACGAAATCTGTAATAAAATCCTTCACGTGGCTACCACAAATGCCGGGGTCCTGTATGTATGTGTATCCCAAATCAGTCATTTCTATTTGCCGTGCTCGTGAAGAATTGATTCGCTACGACGACCCATTACGTCTCGAATTACATTTAGTAAATCATAAATAATTATTTCAATAGAAAATTAGAAATCGATCAATTCTGTGCAATTAAAGAGCTTTTTGAAACTTAAAAAAAGGAGAATACATATCTATATTCCTTTTTTTTAAATACATTAAATTTATGTGGTTCCTTGATTGCGCGAAACCGATCGATGTGCTGAATCCTTTAAACTGCCGCAGACAGCATAGGAAGCTGAAGCCTTTTACAGTCTTTATTGTACTATAGAGAGCAATTTCGCGCGACAGACGTCCACCGTCTCTGTTTCCGTGCTACGAAGACTGCTATCCAAATTAAGAACCATAATATGAACACTTTGACTCATACAATATTGTATTGTAAATTTAATAAAAAATACAATATTGATATCAGATATTAGATCGGCCAAAGTGTTAATATTATGTTTTTATTAAGTAACTGCTTACATAGCAGCTTTCAACACACACCCGGATCAGACTAGTGCAAGTAATCGAGTTTGCTATTGCTACAGATACCATTATCATCACTTTTCTCCTTACGTTTATTATCATCTCAAACATTGTAAAGCTAGAGTGATTGTTTTTCTTAAAAATCTACTTTCTCTTGAGTACACACACAACAGAATATTTCGTAGCAATGTATTAATAAAAGCTTAAAAAAAACTATTATATCTCAGGAATGCCTCTGAAATAAAATCGGTAATGGTATCATCATTAATTTATTATTACTTTACAATTACTTCGCTAATGCTGCAGCAAGTTTGGTCTTTCCCCGAATATAGAGGAGACGCGCGTGAAAAATGGTTGGAGCTATTCCGCTTTCCGTGACCTACGTATTTACTTGATGTTTACTACGCATCTATGCCGTTTGTGCCGGCTACTTTAATGCAACAGCTGGTCGTCTTGATGTAGAAGCGTTTCTTCTCGCACACGAGCGTATCAATTGAGCCCTGTCGGGAGTTTATTAAAGTTATTTAACACGGTCCTTTACACACCGATGCACAGTTGGATGCTTCTATCTGGGACTCGGTGCACAGTGTATCTTACCCTCCATCTCCGTTGCGCGTAAATCAAATAAATTTGCAAAGAATGCGTATTTTGTATAGATACGTGCACGGGAAAAAATGATGTATCAAGATCAATTGAAATAAAATCGTTGAAACAACATCAGTATTAATAAATGGAAAAACGTCAGATAGTTGTCTTAACAATCTGGATATTTAGTTCAGCGCTTAAAATTTAAAATCCATAGCAAATACAATTGAGTGAATTATTTATGTTTGTGGCAGTCCGTGACGTTAACGTTTAATTCGACCAGCTTAATTTTTAACTCAACAGCATTTTTTTCCGTGTGTAAAATTATATCATAATGATTATGTCTCCGTAGCGTGAAATATTCCAGTAATATTGTAGCAACGTCGCAACGATTCGACATAACTGGAATGCCGCAAAGGTTGCTGCAATATTGTTGGAATGCTGTCTGTGGATAATACACTAATTATATAACAATTATACATACGTAATTAAAACAGATATAATATTTCGTATACAGTATGTAATTAAAATTTCCAGTCTCGGTGAATTTATGGACGAACTAACAGCCAAATGAATTGCATGTTTAAAAATGATGCGATTAAGGCAAACATATAATGCCTGTCAAAATTACTAGAGTATTTATTAATGCATTTGAAATCAAACTTTTATAATAGGGGCATGTAGTATTAATGTACTAGGAACTAATTTCTCGAGCCTCCGTGAATCGATTTACGCGAGCAATGCATAAAATGATATACAATCCGTATTCCACTCCCATTTACGCTTGATAATTGTCTTTACGTAATCGCACGATATCAAAGGTACTCTATGAGGAATAGGAACGTTATAATTTTCATTTGAACGTGACATTTCTTCGTGCAAATTCTTAGAAAAGAAAGCAATTGGATAAGGGTCGGTATTGAAGAAGGATCCGTTAGGTAAGAGTCCTAGGCCCGTATTTCAAGTCCTCTTTTATCGATCTCTTATCGATAAAAGTGGCTTGTAGTCAATTAGATGACTTATTAGCCACTTTTAGAGGCACTTTTATTAACAAAAGAGGATTCGGAATACGGACCCTAGTTGTGTCGAGCGATTCCGGGGGCAGGTTTAGAACTCCTTATTTATCTTTATGCGCACCGAGATGGTAAAACATAAAATATTCTACGAGAGAATAAATGCACGGAGAGAATTTTCTTTTAAAATTTACCCTGAAAATCATGTAATCGTGGGACAACATGGCATTTTGAAGAACTCCGATTTTTGAAATTTTACATTCTACTAATAAAATGTACATACTAGGTAAAATTACAAGTAAAAGGTATGGTGAAATTTCAAAAAACTCACAAAATTCTTCGAAGTGCCACGTTGTCCTACGATTACATAATTTCAGGATAAGTTTTAAGAAAAAATTCTCTCCGTGTGATAAGACGAAAGGTCCAGTGTTACAAGCCAGATATAATATACGATGTCGGGCGTTATTTGCCGGAGAACCGTCCCGAGGAAATCTTGAGGGAATCGGAGATCCGGAAGATTCTACGATGGCACGTTGCAGCACATAACAGTACACGCGTGTATGCGCGTCCCTATCGGCGCGGCGCCTAAAATCACAGCGTCATCGGTGACTCAGGACCTTGAGAATCTATTTGTCGAGAGACATCGCATGCTGGAAGTCACGCACGAGACGCGCGGCGATGCGGGCGCAAGTGCAAAACGTAGTGCGGCCGTCGCGGCCGCGTTCACGTGTTAAGTAACTCGGGCGTGCAACAAAAGCCGTCCGGCTGCCCGTCCGACCGGCTAGTCGACTGGTGGATCGCGAAGCACCGACCGGACTTGCTCTGTAAGTAATTTACAAATAAACGGACCGCCGGTTCGTTCTCGACCGTCATCGTCGTCGTCGTCGTCGTCATTTTACCGCGTCCAGTGACGCGTCTTTCTCGTTTGCTCGAGCGCGTGGCGAAAAAAAAAAGAAGAAAGGATTTGACACGAGTGTCAACGGGATGCACGTAGCCGCGCGACGTGACGAATAAAATTCAGCGCCTGCTTTTTCTTTCCTTCGCGACCATTGACCCCGTCGTGCAGCAAAACGTGGAACAGCGAGCAAGGATAACTGAATCGTGCTCGAATCGCGAGCTCTTTATCGCTTTCTTCATTCCGTTTCGTCGCAGGTTTTGTGGAAGAGCACGGTTTCTCGAGCATATGGTGCTTTTTGGGTAAATTAGACGCAGCAACCTGTTAACGCACGATTCGCATTATGTCTAATTTCCAGCTGCCACTTTCGACACATTTCTTCGACATGCTCCATATACCGTTTGACTTATGACTTTCGACGTAGAACTGCCTATTCGAAGGGATTTGTTTATGACTTATTGTTGGTATTCACTTGAAAAACACTAATTTTGTAGAACCAATGGTTGAAACGTTATGGATTAAAAAAAATTGCCAGATGTAGTCGATAAATATACATTAAACATTTTCATACGCTTACGTAAACGAGAAGCATTGAAATTGTAATTAATGTAAATTTAAGGGTAAAAAAGATTAACACCCAGTGAGAAATGATTCGTCGATCGACGTCGAAACGACGTCATTTCTCACTGGGCATAAAATAGACATTTAAGTTTATAATTATTCGCTATAATCAACTAGCTATAATTGATTAGTTGCGCACTCTTTTTAGTTCGTTTTTTTCCCTTATCTTTTTGCCAACGTAAACCGGACAGATTACTTATCCCATACAGTACAGAAGTTTGTAGCTACATTGCAGTAATATTGCAATATTGTACATTACAGTTCAATATTGTGGAATTATTGTTTGACATAAATTTGTAATCTAGTTTGAACAATGTTATAGGAACATTTAAAAAATATCGTGCACGATCTTTTGAATCGTTCTTACACTGAACAAGCTTATTATTTACAAATAACATAATTTTTACAGCAAACTTCCAATACTTTTTGCACATCTTTCCTCCAATAATCTGAATAATACAACTTAAAAAGTGCGATACTTTATTATTTTGAAAACGAGACCAAATTGAAAGTATAATGAAAAATATGTATCTTTATTACAATGTATTATATTTTGCTGCTAGAAACAACGGTTCCAGTGTAGCAAGGTCGAAGCATTATGTTACAATTTTCCCCTAAATTATATATTAACAATAAGTGTTAAACCGAGTAGAGTTCACTGATAAGAGCAGCATAGAAAGAAAAGAAAGAACAAGACAGATAAGATACTGTAAAATGAAATTTGTGTGTTTGTTCTGTAATATAATAATAAACTTAATTTCTTTTTTGAAGGAATAAAGGACGAGCTGTGACAGGGTGTTAGTGTCTAAATATTTTATTCTAAATTTATTTTGAATAAAAAATATCACCTCAGCCAGGGTTTGAACCTGTACCTCCCTCTTAGAATAAAATATTTAGACACTAACACCCTTATTATAAAATATTTAGACACCTTAACACCCTGTCACGGCTCGTAGTCCTTTATTCCTTCAAATTTGTGTTTATCACATTTGAACCATACCAATTTTATTAATTTGTCAATTTCTTTTATTAGAAGCTTAAAATGGTTTTTAAGGAATCTCATTCAAAACGTTACTATGAAAAATATGAAATGAAATAGAATGTAATAACGACCCTGTCGAAAATAATTCTACAAAAAAATAAAATATATACTACAAAAATTATAAAATATAACTGCCAGGATGTCGAAAAGTCTACGTAAACTTAAAAAGTGTTATAAAAAATCAACATGAAAACGCTATAGAATTTATTTTATAGAATCGGAACACTTTTGTTAATTTTTGTAATATTCTACAAGCAGATGTTTTAATTCTTTAAGATTTTGTTGTTTCTCAAAATTTTAAAATTAGTAAAGTTTTGTGCTAATTTTTACAAAATTGTACATTTTCATGAAATACTACTTGCAATAATTGCTTGATTTGAGAACATTGTAATTTGTGGTACTATTTCGTAGATATTTTTACAAAAAAAAATTAATGTTTTAACGAAGATATAAAAATTTCTACAAATTTCTATTTTGAGTCAATTTTTGTAGTTATTTATAGAAACTTTCCGTTAGGAGAATGGGACCGGTAACTTCGATGTTGTCTCGATCCGAATTAAGAGTGAGACCGTAGATTACACCTTATTCAAACAAAAATAGACTCAGATCCTTAGACGACTTTCTTACTCAAAGAAATCTTGACCCTAACCCATCGTCTTACATGGTAACTCTTTCTCTTCCAAGATAGCCGCGTTACGACGTCTTCACGTCCCCTTGTCCTCCTGTTAAAAACAGGCAGCCCGCCGCTGAGAAAATCTCACCACCAACTCCACTCCCCGATGAAACTGCAATAGGGATGATCTACCTCGATCTCCTGTCTGGTCGTTTCTCTAAAGGTTCTCTTTTATTGTGTAGCACTGGAACTGCAAGGCTGCCGTGAGTCCACTCGTCACTTGACTTTCGCCATCTTGTCTTCTTTGAAAGGTCACTACTGTGAGGTCAGTGCTGGCGAGCGCAATTGAGACCTTGATTGTCGTAGAATATTAGTGCTCAGCACAAATGAATTGCTTCTCGCAAAGAAGTAGCACTTTTTAGAGAAAATTAATTTCTCGTAGAAAAGTCCGTTCAGATTGCGGAACGAATATTCTCTGATAGAATTTCCGCTTTGTACGACTGAGTAGCTTCTCGTGGAAAAGCGTCTACTGAGCTAAACTCAAGAAAACCGTTCACATGATTGGCAGAGAAAGAAAACTCCTATGGTGGGTGTACTGATTTGAGAATGCGATTAGAAAGACGGGAAAAGTCCAATTCAAATGTTGTTATACGTCGTCTAGTGCAATTAACCCGAGTACAGCAGTTTTTTTGTGCTGCAGAGCGAATCTCTCTTTCGGAATCCCGTCAGCGCTAAACGAAATTTTGAACAGTGGAATTTGTATGTAAAATGTTAATTTGTATGCCATTAGGTTGTTTTTTAAAGTGTTTCTTAAAAAAAATTAAAATAATTACATAATATTGCATTTCATTTTCTCTATTGAACTGTTGAGTTACATAGTACAAGAAGGTCCGTAATATGTATCAAATAATAACTCAGCTTGTGCGTGTTAACTCACAAAATAATCTTTACTCAAATACAGTAATCTATGTCTTTATAGCTCGGGAGTCCGATTTCTGCGTTGCTAATCAACAACCGACAAAAGCCTACATCATCGCATACATTCAGTTCGCATAATTTCACACAGCAATTCCGCATATTCGCATGTAGGCACACATCCCAACATGAACAAAACTTCATAATTTTTCAGGGCTTTAATAAAGAAAACTAAATATTTTAGAAAACGCCACAATCTTGCTTTGCTGCACAAGTAATTGTTTAAGTAAAAATTTTTATGTAATTTACATACAATACATTTTAGTTGTTTTAAATATGCAGATTCTTGTACGCGTCAATTATTATTTATGAAAAACGTACTTATTTATCAATGGATTAGTCGATCTTAACTGGCACTCGTTTAATAAATTAAAAATAAATAATGTAACGTGCGACGTTTCGCCCACGGGTTTGGGGCCTTATCGAGCACAAATTCTTAAAAATTAATCGAGTCATTGCAATATGTAATTGAACAGTAAAAAATTATAACAACGTTGAGTCACGATTATATAAAATTAACGGCACAAAATAAAATTGTACAATACATGCGCGCATTTGGCTGAAGCAGTGTACACAAACTTTAGGAAGAAACAACATACTTTGAACGATCGCCTTCTATCGTTCCCCTTACTCATCTGTTACCTCCACTATTTATTGAACAAAGACGAGACGACCACTCAACTGTCAGGTATCTCGTACTAAAGTTCGTGCAAGTTCTCAACACGGGAAATAAAGGTAGGGAACAGCCTATTCTTACTATGGGTTCGTTCTGTTTCACGCACGGTGTGCACAATACGTCATTTATCCTTCTTTAACGTTTGACAAATAACAAGGAACAAATGATGCATCGTGCGAGAAACGGGACGCACCCAATGTCTATGCAGGGGCTCGATTCTTGAATTTATTCGAAGGAGAAACGTATGCGAAAATTCTGCTCTTACAGAACAGTTGCAAGTTGATTGGCTACTCGCATGGCTTTAACCTATAGACTTTCAACTTTTCTGTCAGATCAGAGTTTTCGCATACGTTTCTCCTTCGAATAAATTCAAGAATCAGGTCCCTGGAGCACACTGGCTGTCCGGGGTAAACGCGCGCGCGGGCTCTCTTTCGAAATACACCATTCAGCGTACTTCACGTAGCATATGTTTTCCCCTCCCCACCTGAAGCTCACTTCAGATACCTCGGACTTCGAATTCGAGCGTCGAGAAACCCGACGCGCTCAGTTTACAATTTCCCGGCCGAGGCCCGACGTGCGCCCAATATATTTCTCGATGCAGCATATGTTTCGACTGCCTCGCTGCTTCTCGCGCGATTTTACGTGGCTCGTGCGGAATCGCGGGCGTGCAGAATCGCGACGTGGAGGTGCGTGCGTGCGCGCGCGTCCGCGCGCGCTCGCGCACCCCCCGGCGGGGGAGGGGGGGGGGGGAAATAGAGAAATCCGGTTGCACGGGCGCGTATGCGTGAACGACGCGTGTTAACGCGTGTGCCGTATTGCGGTCTCGCGGCTCACGGCGGGCGCAACCCGAGGGGGATTCCGTCGCGCCAGGCCGAGATTCGTTCCGGAGCGAGCGAGCGCTTTTCAGCGGCGCGTCGCCGCACGGTCGGGGGTTGATACCGGAACTCGTTGCATTGCAGTAGATAAATTTGATAAACGCTCATCCGTTTTATCGCCGCTGGACGAAAGAGTCCGCCGGACCTCGGACTTGACGCGAGCCGTCACGATAACGAGATTCGATAAGTTGTACGGTACCGTCTCCGCGCTTGCTTGTCTCGTACCCACATTAGCTCGCACGTTCGCATACGCGTGTGTGTGCGTGCGCGCGCGCGCGCGCGCGCGTGTGCATTGACGGCCGGTTTATAATTTTGGCAATCCGCCAGTCAACGTTGTCATCCGCGCGAGTCAACGTAAATGGCGGCATCGATCGTCGCCTCGCTCTGATAATCGCGACGACTCGTATCGCGACCCCCGGTCGCTCGATGCCCGAACGGAAAATGCAAATCGATTGGCCGAGTGGAATTTGAACCTGCCAAGACGACCCGGTGGAAGGAAGAGAAAGGGACAGTGGGAAGACGGGAGATGAGATAATTATACGAGATATAATCGGCAGGCCAATCGTAAGGAATCGTTCATTATGCACAGTCGGCAGAAGAGCTACGGAAGTTTATTCGGCTGTTGAACGCACAGTGGCGTTCGCTCGAGTTGCCGGGTGGAATCCTTGAAGGAGTCGATTGGTAAAAAATTGATTGTCCAACGCCATTAATTAGCGATAGAATATCAATTGCGGGTGCGGATCTCGACCCTCGAGTCCGAGTTGCTAGAAGCCTGAACTGTGCAAATCCTTTGTAGTTCCGACTTCTGACTAACGTGTCATTGCAGACTGGACTTTTGTCCTTCATTATACGTGCCGGAAGTAATGCAATCTCTTAATCTCTTATGCCATTTATTATAGGTGCATGAGAAGGACGACAAACTCTTTATGACAATGATGGTCCGAGCTTTGTGCAATGCCTTCAGCGTGGGAAGGCAGATTGGCTTGTGCTCACAGACACAGCTGTTAATACGTAGCCCATATTCGGTAATGATAACGAGACGCGCGGTTTTATGTTAATCCAGCGTTTCCTCGTGTCTTATCACACTTGTCGTTTCTTTCAGGGTATCGGACAGTTGACGCGCTTGTTATCCTCGCATCATGTCTCAAAGAACATCGAGTTTCTCACGCAAGATAATCGAATTATGTCGTCTAAGAACGTTGCTCAGGACATAAATGTAACAAACAACCGTCCTTTGTTAGTTATCCTCACTTGGATGCTATCGAAGCGACAACACGTCATGAAGTTCGTTAATTTGTATATGGAACAAGGTTTCGACGTGGCAGTGGTGTCCCTTACACCTTGGCAGCTCATGTGGCCTACAAAGGGTTCTAGAGTACGTGCACATAGTTGATTGCACGTAAAAACCTGCTTTAGACAATCTACAATTTGCAACGTGATTCTACTTTATGTATCTTCCCCGCAATATGAGAAATGTCTGAAAAATCCAACTGTAATTATCCAAAATTGCACCTACGCATAGAAATACGTGGCGTGTAAAACTGTAAATAGAATTGTCCTGGGATTCTGTCGCAAATTGTAAATCGTCCAAAGTTTCAATTCATTTGTTACAATCTTCGAAACTTGTTTTCAGCTAGTGGCGACGGATTTGTTAACTTTCTTAAAGCAAAATGAAAGTTACCAACAAATTCTGTTACACGGATTCTCAGTGGGCGGTTACATGTGGGGCGAAGCTTTGGACTTGATAGAAAGCAATAGGGATAAGTACAGTAACGTTACGGACAGAATCGTCGGCCAGGTGTGGGACAGTATCGCCGATGTCAGTCAGATCGCGATTGGCTTACCTCGCGCTGTATTCCCGAAGAACACAGTGCTACAGACCATGCTACAGAAATACGTAGAGTAAGCGAGAAGATTAAGCGCCAAAAAAAATATGTATCTCCAACTGATATCGAGTAACGTTGCTTTTAGATATCACATGAAGACGTTCCACCAGCAAGCGACGCAATATTACATTCGATCCAGTCAGATATTTCACAGTGCCAGTGTACTACGCGTGCCAGCGTTACTGTTCGTAAGCAAAACCGATCCCGTTGGAGCTGTACACGGCGCTATATCCTTGCGCGACAATTGGGAATCTTTAGGAATGAAGGTAAGATTTGCATTTGTGCTGGCTCACGAGACGGTCAGGCGAGAGACGTGTGCATATTTATAATATATTACAGACGTACATAAAGATATTCGAGGAGTCGCCGCACGTCGCCCACTTCTACACGTACCCGAAGGAATACGTGGGCGAGCTCTACGCCTTCTTACAGAAGTTAAACTTAATACAGAACGAAGAAAAGATCAGAGCGCGCCTCTAGATGTCCCAAAAACGCGCAATACCCCCTTCACACGTAGCTGTATGGTATTTTTTTATATGACGTTGCCTTTTCAATTACATTTTACTCCGTACATTTGTAATATTCAGCACTTGCCACACACGAACGTAATATACAACAAACAGTATGATTTTATATATTTAAACTTATATACACGATATTTGTATAAAACTTTACGAGCAATCAACACCAAGATTTTGACGTTAACAAAAGTTTTTAAAGGCGATAAAAAATACCTTAATTATACATATTTTTGTAAATTTATCTTTGAAGTGCATTATTACTTGTTATTATTTAAGTGTAAAGTGTAACATTTTAGGTGGAAGATATACGATGCATTTAAAAATTTTGTTACCTTGAACTTTTTTTCAACGAGTTTTACAAATACAGTAAAAAAATAGAAGTATAACTTATCATTGTATCACGAGTTATATCAACAAGCATAATTGTATGTTGTACATTTGGTGTCTTATTACATACATATATTAGTTATTTTATTTCAACAAACTTCAACTTTCCGTTTCTTTCCTCCGTTTTTCTCTGCTTCTCTTCTTACGTTTCTTTCTCTCCTCGGCTTTGATATCTACCTCATCCGGTAGTTCGCCTCCTTCCATGATTAACTTTTTCCGTTTATTGATCCTTTTCTTTTCGTCAAAATCAGTCTCGTCCAATTTGATCTCCGCTTCCCGTTTTGCCACCGATATTTGCGTAAAGATTGTAACGATTTCCTTGTCTAGCATCAATTCAGCAATGATCGGATACAATTTCCAAGTTATTTTTATTGAAAACAAAAAGTATAGAAGAGAAAGTAATACACATACTCACCGTTTACTTCATATTTCTCCAATTTAGTGCCTACGGCGTGTTCGATCGCGTGCAATAATTTGATATCGTGTGGAGTTACCAGGCTTATTGCCATACCGGTTTTACCTGCGCGAGCCGTTCTACCGACTCTGTGAATGTACTCCTTCGGTTCATTCGGCACTGTATGATTAATGACCAATTCTACTATGGGAATATCCAGGCCTCTCGCCGCGACATTGGTCGCAATTAAGATCTGCACGTGGTTCGACTTGAACTTATTTAGCGCTGCTAAACGATCCTTTTGCTTAATCATCGCGTGAAGAGCCACATTCGTAAATCCAACATCATTCAACGTCATTGATAATAATTGACATTGTCTAAATACAGCAAAATAATAGTGTATCGTTAAATCTAGATACGTGGTCTTTGAAGCCTCGTTTGTATTACACGACAAGAGCAACTGTGTTATTTACTTGCAAGTGTCCGTGAATATCATAATAGAACCATCCTCGCTGGTGGCGCGAAATGTCCTGACTACTTCTACCAGATACGAATCAAGCACATACTTAGGGCACAACACGTAACGTTGATCCAATTCCCTTACAGTGGCGATACCGGTGTCATCTTCCTCTTGCCATGTAAAAACCTAGCTCAACAGTTGCAATTGTCATTTCTGCCGCAGTCCTAACACAATACAAACACGCAGTTGTATTATCAAGATGTACCTTATCAGAAACTATTTGCTGCACTTTTTCAAGCGCGTCCGTCATCGTAGCGCTGAAGAACAGTACTTGTTTCTCCTTGGGCAACGCGGCAAATACTGTCTTAAGCTGTTCATCGAAATGGCCACCGAGCAGCCTGTCGGCTTCGTCCAACACTAAAAATTTGATCCTCTGCAAGGAGAACGTATTGCAACTGTCCAAATGATCCACCAGTCGACCCGGCGTAGCTACAACTACATGCGGCTTTCTTGACAATTCCAATCCTTGCACCATCATATCCATGCCACCGACAATTACAGACTTTTTCAGGTTGATAGCCTTACCAATGGCGGCGAATTGATCAGCAATCTAAAATAATTCCATTTAAATGCAACAAGAATTACTATAATTAATTACAAAGATGGGACATTTTCAGCGCTGAGTAGCGCTGATAGTGAGCTCCCGAGAAACGCACGCTATAAGTAACTGTACAAGGAAGTGAATTTTTTCACCTGAAAAGCTAATTCCCTTGTCGGCGTTAACACAAGGGCAAATATACCGTACGGATCCTCGCACAATTTTTGCAAGATAGGCAGGACAAACGCCAGAGTTTTGCCACTGCCCGTCTTGGCACAGCCTATGCAATCTTTGCCCGACAGTATTTGAGGGATGCAATTCTGCTGAATCGGCGTCGGCTTTTTTACACCTAAACGAACAAATATAGGGCGTTTTCCAACAAGGACACAATGCGACACAGTGTAACACTGTGAATCATTACATCCTTGTTGTTTGCCAATGTTAAACAAGGATGAAACGATTCACTGTGTTACACTGTGTCCTTGCTGGAAAACGCCCATAGCTGTACAGTTTCGTAAAACTGATCGACTTCGCGTGAGTTTAGCGTTCTGAATGTCGTCAATCGTTTCTTGCCGATAACAGTGAAACGTGCATTTAGAAAAATATCTCTTCGTAAATTATTATTACAGAAAATAATTTACCCATAGACTCGCATTGTGCGAGGAGCCAAGAATTCAGTTTTAATTGCGAGAACTCTTTCACTTCTTCGTCCATGTCGAATGTTGTTACTCGCGACGTAAAATTCGATTGAATCCAATTGAATCCGAGTTCTTTCAACTTAGCACGTGTTAAAGCCTCAGACTATATAACTACGGAGTACGGACTGCCAGTTACCTCCACTTTTCCTATTCTAACCTAACATGTAATCAACATGACGCGTGCTGCCATAGGTGGCAGAAAATCGAAACACAAAGATTTTAATGGTATAACAGGAAAGAAGACAGAGATAGAATGTAATTTGCGTCGTGCTGTTTTATCATGTTTAGCAAAGTTCAGAACCACTTGGACATCTTGTGCGACACGTGACCACGTGACGTAAAAACGTGATGTCACTCCGACATCTCTTCATGTCGTTTTATTACATTTCACGTCAGTCGCGTTGCGTTCGCCATGGCGGCGGTGTAGTTCTCGTCGTTGCGCTTCCAGGATCTTCAATTTCACATTCTGCTGCAGTGCCAGTGACTGTGAAAGAACGCAATTTAGCTCACGCACACCAATCCCACCTTGTTTCCACCTTTTATCTCGTCCCGTAAAAGCGCAAGATTTCGTTAAGGTTAAGCGCGGTTTCCGCCTGTGGTGAAAGTGTTCATGTTCCTCGACCTGATTACAGTCTCTCTCTCTCTCTCTTTTTCTCTCCTCTTCTGTACTCCCCCTCTCCCATCGCTATTTCTTAATTTTCATGTCTCGTACCTAATACATTCCGAAGCTTAACGTTCGACTATACCTGCTATCTGAAACGCGACGATGAGCAACGATAAGGAACGTGACGTAATTCACGTTGGATCTCGGAAAAGCGAGGTGAGGGCTTACGGGGGCATTTGTTCACCTTCCACCCCTGACAGAAAAATAATCCCGCGAGGCGGCAAAGCCGCACATCGCGAACAAGTGCTTCTAATATTGATAGCGATCGACGATCCTCGTGGTTTCCTGACGGCTTCAATTCCGCTCCGTTGCGATCGCGAAAGCGCTACGCTTGTAAGCGCGTAATCAAGTAATTATTACGTCAGAATGATCCTCGTTCTCTTTATTAACGACTGCATACACAAGTCATTTCTTAGATACGACAACTATTAATTTTACATAATCATTGCTGCGCATCTTCGCGGCGTCTCCTGTCTCCTTATGCGAGATTACTCAGCGATTTCTTAATTTGTCTACAATCGTCTGACAATTGGCCTTTTAATCCTGTATCGGAAAATATTAGAAGTGCAAAGTAGATGTTTTGCTAATTACCAATAAAAATGTCGCGGCGGCTCTGTACAATTTTCCACAATTATACATTTTACATATAATAATATATTTTTTAGTTTCGGAGAAACGTCCCCTATTATGAGACAGACTTCTAACACGAGATAGGGGGGTTTCTGTTGAATTAATAGGCGTCTGTTGATTCCACCATGAATTTATCGCTCTTGGAGCGAAATTTGTTTTATAGAATATTCATTGTTAGATTGTGTAATCGTCGCGATAAAAGATTTGCGATTGAATTTGGGCGTCGAAAACCCGCTACCTCATATTAGAAACCTATCCCATAATGGGGGATTTTCCTCTACTTTATTACACGGCTTGACGTTGCAAACAAGCATCTTTTTTTTACTTTGAAATAATGCATTTTTTAAACTGTTTTAGCTGGCCTTGATACAAACTAGGCACGTGATACAATGCCTGAAAGAAATCAATCCGAAAAAAGAATTCGAAATAGGTAAGAAAGTACACAATTATCCGCGCGCATCGTTGACGTGTATCAGTTCACAGCGTTATTTCAATGTATGTGTTTTGTTAGAAAAATCTTGAAGTTTAAATGTCGTGATTTCTCATCTATAATATTGCGAGCAAAATTTTCTTGATGGTACAAAACTGGCCTCGAGAGAGGCTTGTGAAAATGAGCTGATCAAGTTTTTTACCATTAGAGACGAGGACTTCTTCAATCGCGGAATTATGAAATTGCCTTCAAAATGGACAATAGTTATCGAACAAAACGGCGCATATTTGGTCTAAATCGGATAATCCTAACTATGTTAATTTCATCGTCGAAATAAAGCGAAAAAACACTCAGAACTTTTTACTTTATCTAATATCTCTCGGCTTTTCTTCGCCTCTCTGATTGTATATTGCTACATAAACATTTCAAGTATCCGAGATAGCTTTCTCTTGTCGCGCATGTTCCATGACTGGCAGATAATGAAATGCTCCCATCGCGATTTCTTAATTTTCATGTCTCGTACGTTTCTCGCGACATTTATTTATCGAATTGGATGCATCTACTTTTTGTAAAATTGAAAATTGCTTGTTTCATCAATTGGTAATCACATTGCAGTAACAATGTGCACTAAGGGAGATAAGATTCTGGATAAATCTTTACCAAAGATCGGGGAGAAGTCCCTGTTTACCGAGGAGCTGGAGCTAGCTTTGGAGGATGGTCGCGTCGATTTTGTGGTGCACTCGTTAAAAGATTTGCCAACGACCCTACCGGCGGGAATGGCCCTAGGTGCGATATTGAAGTAAGTTTAAAAATACGAGCTGTGTTCTGTATGAAATTAATTGTAATATTATACTCGTCTCCGCATCTTGTTTCACATCAGCAAGTGCTGACTTTGCTGTTTTGCGTTTGCCTCACTGTCCCCAAGATGGAGACTCCATTTTAAATTTAAATGCACGTGCGTATGTTGACGTGCTTATGAAAGAAACATCTTGCCTTAAATAGGATATCCTGTCTGGAATGCTATCTAAATGTGCAATAGCAACCGCTTAAGTATTGTGACCTTGACGTTTTCGATTAATAACTTGAAAGTTATCAACTTAAGCTATCAATTAAAGCATTAAGCCTACGATAGTTGCTAGAACTGTGTACAAATGTTTCACTTACGAAAAATGAATTTTTTATGAAACATTCCATATTTATATTTTAAATATACATATATAATACATTAGACTTAAAAAAAATTTGATATTAATATTTATCGATGCTAATAAATAACGTATTTTTGTAGACGTGAGGACCCACGCGACGCGGTGGTCATGTCGAAGAAATACAAAGAGGAAACACTGTCTTCATTGCCAAAGGGTAGCGTCATAGGTACTAGTTCTTTGCGTAGATCCGCGCAATTATCACGGAATATGCCGCACCTAAAGATAGAGAACATTCGCGGTAACTTGAACACGAGATTGAAGAAATTGGACGATAAAAATGGCCCCTACGCCGCGATAATATTAGCTGCTGCCGGTTTAAAAAGAATGGGCTGGGAAAACAGGATAAGCCAGGTATGATTTTATCTAAGATTTTATCTAGCATTCCACTCTGGTGTTTACTTGAATTAAATTTACTTGAATTAAAATACGTAATCTTCTAGCTCCTGGAACCCGAGGAAGCTCTCTATGCTGTCGGCCAGGGTGCATTGGGTGTTGAATGCCGAGAGTCAGATTGGGAAACACGGTCTCTCTTGGAACCATTGTTTGACTTGGAAACCACATTGAGATGCGTATGTGAGCGGTCGTTTTTGAAAACTCTTGGTGGCGGTTGTTCCGCACCAGTCGCAGTGTCTACGTCTTTGAAAAAGAACGAGTTAACGATTACCGGTGCTGTATGGTCTCTGGATGGTCAAACTTTGATTACAGATACCTTGAAAAGCAAATTTTATTTACCCAACGACGATGGTGAGCCTCCTCGGTGAGTTAAACATGATTTTATATTTTTAAATAATAATAGAAGTCGCGTACATTAACGTCGATGCTGTTACCAATGTATATCTATCTGTCTTTTACCACAATGCAAATTTTATTTATTTTATATTTGACATTTTTTTTCTTACAATAGGAAATGCCCATATCAGGAACCCCGCCTTTACTGCAGCGTTGTTCCCAACAACGTAAGCAGTGTAAGTCTTTTTGCTGCTGAACAGCTTGGTACAAAATTGGCCAATAGTCTCATAAAGAAAAATGCTCTCGACGTAATGTCGCAGGCTAGAAATGAAATCTTAGATTCAAAATAATATGAATTGTATTTCGATTGTTGGTTGCAAACGCTTAGAGAATGTATGTTAAAGTGAAGTGACGATTATCAATAATTCATTGATCTTTCAATGTTCCGTGACTGTTGGATACCCATCGTACATTTCGATTTATGTATGTTCAAGATGGAAAACTCGATTGGAGTACAAATCGTATTGTTTTTTTATATTGTTACTTTTCTGAATTGTTTTTGTGTATCTCGTATATACATTTTGTTTTTATCCTAGCGCTGGTTAATGAATCTGTAAAAGTAATTGTAACAGTGAAAAATTGAAAATACATCATATAGTACGTAATTTAAATTACTAAAATTTGTGTATGATATACCTCAATTTGGATGAATTGTACAAATTCTGTAAAGATTGTACACTTATTGTTATGTAAATAATCCAGAATTAATGTTGACGCAACAAATATTACATAGAAATTTTATTACTGTTGAAAATAATAGTCTATTGCAAAACACTGCCATATATAGATCAGTAGTAACAATCAACGTGATATATATATAGTTCTATTTGTGTTAAATAAATTATAACAATCAAGTTTTGTACAGGCACAATTTATATAAACAATATGTAACTCACGAATACATATATCTCTCCGATTCTGTTGAATATTTGGGTATCTTATTTCAAGAGACTAAATCATTTTTTTATTATTTTGAGGAATTATTAACACCATATATAAAATTACAAGGTATCGAGGAAGAGCATTGTATAACTTCATTATTGGGTTTTCCGTCTATTACTTATATATGTGCCCCCCTCCTTCCGATCGTGAACATGTTCTTGTAAAACATATGTATATAGAAAATATTTTGTAATATATAAACACAATTATAAATGTGGGAGTTATTGAAGCTATAATAAAAAACAATTTATACATAACGCTATTATATATAAATAAAGAGGTTTTGTATTTTATCTCGATCATATTCTTTCAAATAGAATTTTAATCTTTAAAATCACACGTAGTAAGCATTCAATTTTATTTCTTCAGCTTATGCTTATTTCATAGAACTTTAAATATATTGTCTATTATAGAAACTATTTGTTTTGTTGTTTCTTTTTAGTTTATAAGAATATAATTTCTTATACCAAAAGTATTGGTATCTGAATTGTTTATTATATGTTAGAGAGAAAGAAAGTTCAATATCTTCGGATGTCATAACATATAGTTATATTTAAAATAATTTGTAGCATTTATAGCGTTAAGTTTTATCTACAAAATACGTATATATATTTATAGTGACATTGTAAGACTTACAATAATCTTCCAACTGTACCATATACTTTTGTAAATGCCTCCAGAATATAATAATCCTTGTGAGAGCAGATAAATCTCCCGTATTTTTGTAATGCGTGTGCAACATACTAGATGTCCACGTGGTAGCTTAGATCATTACAGTAATTGTACAAGATTACAATTAGATCCGTAGATTACAGTGTTGTAGACCAAATCATCTTTCCACATTTACTACACCAAGGTAGGACAACGTATATGTTTGTCAGTATCACAAATATGATAGTGACAGCGTATTCTATTGAACACAGCTAATCAAAACATGTAATAAATATTACTAATTTTATTAGCGTCAATTCCCTGAACATATACGTCACATATGTGTTCGGAATCAGACTAAAGTATTAGCTGTACGTAATCTGCTTAGAAATTTATCATGTTTCGATAAAACGTTAATTTTATAATAACTTGTTTAACTTTTATGTACAACAAAACAATTACATATATATAATATACATGAAACATCGAAACGTCTTTTTGGAATTAGAAAATATTGGTGAACATAGGATAGATGAAGAAACGTGGGCTTAAGGATAAATTTCACTTTTCTCAGAATATAAAATGAATATAAAGAAGAGTGAGTCACTGCAAAATAGTATGACAGAACCATTATATTTTATCAGATTGTAAATCCATTAAAATTACAAATTAACAAGTAACAGGTAACACAGAAAACGGCTTTCAGAATTCAACGCGGTTAACGATGTGCAGATCACCGATCGTGGAGAAGTGACCACTTTTCCTTTTGCTCACGTTGATTATTTTGATTTTGATATAAAGCTATAAATGATCATTAAACAAATTTTATTTGGATTTTCTCGCGGAAAATATTTTGAAACCACATTTTTCTTGAGTCCCGTTTACTTGTCACTTGTTAATTTCATTAATGAGAGTCCTTGTTATTTATCTAATTATTAAAATTACAAATGTTTTATTAACGCGCCAGATTTTGTATCGAATATACTTTTCATGGAAATATTTAGAGCCTTATGTAAACTGTGGAGATCTTTGTATTTTTCTAGAACTTACAATACTGCACTCAACACTGCAGAGAAATTAAATCTTGATTTGGTATCAGAATATACACGTAAATATTGTATTGATTCTGTAAACTTTCCGTCAAAAATGGTCAGAATCGTTGTTCAATTAAAATTCATTTTATTTCAATAAACGGATATAAAGATCCGCTTATAACAAAATAAAATACTGAATATTTGTAACAATTCCTTACGATTGGTACATACATCTACCAAGATGGAAGTTCAACACGGAACGACAAATTGTACAATTGTAGAATTTTTTTAGATGTAAGCTATATTCGCACTCGTACTGTGCAAAAATGAGCATGACTCTTTACTAATTTCAGATTTTAATATTTGCCAACGAAACTTCATATCCCTCTACTCAACGTCCTCTTCCGCCATTTGAGTTTGCGACACTATTTTCTGTAAGAAAGCAGGCAGAATAACAAAAAAAAACGTCACCTCATTTCAACACTTTCAATTAAATAAATCTGTACCTGGCCAACGAGGGGCAGTCGCTGCACCAGAGTCTGGAAAATTGGTGGCGGCAGAGTCTTCTGGAGAACCGTCAACAGCTGGGCCGGCTGTCCACAGACCGCCACTGCGTTAGCCAGATGCTCGACCCCTTCCTCAACATTGCCAGTGGCCAGTAACTCCTCCCCAAGTTGTACCTGAAGTGCGTAACATTGTCCAATGCTTGAATGAGCTTCAAAGCTGGTTATACTTATCCACGGTGGAATTTGCAACAAATGTTACCTCTTGCAAGAAGAACTTCTGCACTAATTCATGATCCCTCAAATCTGGTATCTTCGACGAAGCCTTCTGCGCCTGCTTCTTGGCTTTCCTACCTACAACACAGAATTGAAACTTTTTCAATGGGGAGGGAATGAAAGTCCAGTGTCCCGGACACTGCGCAATATTGTCTACACTTGTAATTGCAATCCTGACACAATAATCAATATTACAAAAGGAAGTCTCTCAGTATATAAATAGCATCTCTCCGGCTAAACGTGGCACATGCACAAAATGGACCGCAACACGACCGGTGCGTGGTGCGCGTTACCAGGAAAAATCGTTGTTCATTCACGCGAGAGTACGCGCGCCCGGTTTACCCAGAGACGTACGTCACCGCACCGGAGTCACACGTGCGCGCTCGGCGCACGAGAGCGAAAAAGTCGGGGCTTACGTTCGCGGAGCTTCTTTTTGAAATCCGGATCGCTGCGACGCTTTTGGTCGAAGTAGAAGCAGTAGCCGACGAAGATCCCGGCGATGCCAACGGCAATGCCGACCGCGGTTTTGGAAATCATGGTCATTCTAACATACAAATCCCTGATGTATCGCGGAGAATTCACGAGCACCTCGCCACAACCTCGGCCATCACGGAAAAGGTTGCCTTTCCTGTCGTGCGCGCTGAACGTGCCCGCGAAATGTTTGCGCACAGACGCGCCAACTTAACGCACGACGTCGACGAACGTCCTAGATCGTGCAATTAAAAAATCCAATTAAACGTTGGGTTTATTAAAATGGGTAAATTTAAAATTATTAATAATTCTTATCGAATAATTTGTAAGAATTTTCGGTACTTTCCATAAAACCATCCTCTTCCGCTTGTGGGACGTGAATCGAAATATTTCTATGCTGCACAGACTGCTTCGTGTCTTGTTGGACAACTTCGGACGGTGTCGGTGCGTTCCAAAACTCGTCGAAAGAAGACTTCAATTTCCCCGTTGCCGAACAGATATGTTTATGCATTTCGTATATATTTTTCCAACGCGCGTAGATTAAACGCGTGAGAAAATTAACAGAGCTGCCTCCCTTGTCTCGCGCTTCGTTCGCTTGAAAGGGCTTCTTCTTTTGTCTGGCAACCGCTCCGAGTCGAGAGCGATACGGGGCCGCTTGGAAGGGCCGGTACAGTGGACTTCGCTGCATACGGAGTTGAAAGGGAAGGGGAGCAGATCACTGGAGTAGAAACATGCTGATAAAACGGCGCGCATTGTCGCACGGCTAAATACAAAAAGCGAATCAACATCGCGCGGGTGCGTTTGTTGGAAAAACGGTTTGTATATTCGCTTCATATTTTATATGCTAACGAGTCAGCAAGCAAAACATTCCGAAGTGTTTGTAGGTTGACGAGAAATACAGGTGTCCTCGACAGCTTATCACGTGAATCTTGGCGGTAACCCGTAAACATGTCGTTGATAAGGAAACCCACGCGATACGCTCATCAAGAAGGGCACACCGACGTCTGCTACTATTCCGGCGAGAAGTAAGTGCCCTCGCGTATATTACTTTCGTGTGCATGCGTTTAATTTGTCACGGAGAGTCATTGTCGATGAATGTGTCTTGATCGTAGGAGGGGACTCGTCACCTGCGGCTGCGATGGGGACGTTAGATCCTGGTTGAATTTAATGGACGACGACCCGACCACCAGCTGCATCTCGGAGCAAGCGATCACTGCCATCTCCAAGGTGCCTTAACAATTGCCGGGTCAAGTTGTCAGCTTGTCAATTTGTCAGCAAACGCTTCTACAGATTCTTTGTAAAAGGGACGCCGAAAAACTTGCGAAGGAGACGAAGCTGCAACAAAGTTTTTGATTTCAGGATGGGAAGATTTTTGTCGGAAATGACAATAATACCGTGCAAATACTTACTTATCCTGATTTGGAGAAGGAGGGAATAGTTACTAGATTTTCAGCGCCAGTCTCGGCACTGGCGACGGCAAAAGACAGTAGTTTGATAACGTCTGGCTCCTGGTATGTGTGACGAGGAAATTTTATATTTATTCTACATGTGCATATTATTTATCGCGTGTTAACTCTAGTAATTTGGTCTTTTTTTTAAGTGATATGCGGATACACGTTACGAACATTAGTACTTTAGACAGCGTCGAATTAGAGGGCCACGAAGCACCAATCTTGGGCCTGTCTTTAGATCCGAAAGAAGAGTTTGTGGTAAGAAACATTGCAGCGTTTCCTAATGCTTCATCAGTGATAAAAACAAATTTTTTAATCGCTAAATTGAAACCGATGTTTACAGGCGTCTTCTAGCGCTGATGGATCTATTAGAATATGGAATATTAAGGAAAAGAGAACCATACATGTTTGGAATAACGTTGTACCCAAATGTAACTCCTTTTTTACTGCGAAATCGTATTGCACACCTTCCTTCAAATGTACAGACGGCAGTTACCTGGCATATCCCTCTAACAAAGACGTAGTCATCGTAGAGAGATCGTCTTGGAAGGAGTTATGTAGACTTAAATGTCCTACTTTAAGGACTGTAAGTTACTGTCTCAGTCTTCTTGTCTCTCTTTCCTAGTTAACTGATGAATCATTAATTTTCTGTCTTCGTATAGGAACTCAGCATTTGTAAATTCTCTGAGTGCGGCACGCGAATCGCCGCTAGTTCACTGTACGGAGAGATAGTTGTGTGGAATGTGGAAAGCAAGGAATTAATTGGATATCTCGAACACGAGCAGGATACCAAAATCACCGCACTGGTGTGGAACATAGATCATTCGAATGAAATTGCATTCTGCGATGCATTGGGAAAATTAGGATGCATTGACGTGGTAAGAAACTTTCTCGTGTTAAATATATATGTCTCGCATACGTGTGCGTATAAAGATTTTATCAATACATTCAGAATGTCTAATAATCCTCTTAGATAAGCACTAGTAAGCCTGCAAGTGAAATCTTGGATTTTGAGAAAAACGAAGATGCAATGGAAAACGATATTGGTTTACCGGATGATGACGACGATGATGAAAATGTGATATCTCTGAGTAAAATTAAGGCCTCTGTCAATTTAGAAGACGATGAGAAAAGTCATGTCGATGCAGATTCTGAAAAGACTCCATTTGACGCGAAGGCTTTTGTGCCCAATGTAAAATTGCAATCGTCTTTTCAACCGGGATCTACACCCTCTCATTTACTGTCATATTTCATGGTGCAGTATAATAATAAGATTTACGCGTGTACACTCTTGTGATATTTAAAGATAAATCTAATCTTTGCGATACTTATGTAGGTGTGGAACGATGTGGGAATGGTTAGATGTTTCTCATCAGAGGACGGGGAGGGATGCAGCATTGAGGTGGAGTTTCATGATGTCACGGTACACCGCAGCATGCATATAAATAATTATCTACGACATTCTTTAGCTGCCTTGTCTACCCAAGCACTTGCTCTGAGCTGTCCAGCTTCTGAAGATGGTCCCAGTAAAATTGTCGTGATAGCTCTGCAAGGTTATTTCATTATTACCGTACAAGATCATTCATGATTATGTATGATGATTGTTTATGATTATGTTTATGATGATTGGTTATGATAATATACGTGAACACTTTAGAATGTTGTACCTAAAACGAGAAAAAATCGTAAATGTTGAATATCTATTTAGGTTTTATCTTATGAATCATAAATTAGAGAAACTTTTCAAAGCATCCACACAGTGACACATTTAAAAACTATAATATATAGATAATAAAAAAAATATATATAAACTATTATTTCTCTGTATTAGGTTGGGGTTCTGGAAATAAAGAATGGATTCTGGATCTGCCAGAAGGAGAGGAAAGCGAATGTTTGGCGGCTGGTGATAATTTCGTTGCAGTAGCAACATCTAGAAGAAATTTAAGGATATTTATGATAGGCGGAACGCAACGTGAAGTTTTAGCTCTGCCCGGACCTATAGTTGCAATGAATGGTCTAGGAAATCATCTTGTGATAGCTTATCACGCTGGAATTGGTAAAAAAAACCTTTTTAGTCAGTTAACATAATGGAAAATCTGATAACTGAAAACAATTTATATAGTGTTATTTAAAAATGTAATATAGTTTTTTTTGCGTAAAAAGGTCCATCGGGTGATCAGAATATAAATCTATTATGGATGCAAATACAGGGAGCGCATTTACGCAGTCAAACCTTAACGCTTCCCCTTTCGCCGGTGTCGGATCTCATGTGGTTGGGATTATCAGATGCTCGATCACCCACTATTATGGATTCTGATGATATCATCAGGATATACGACAAGAGATCGTGTCAATGGAGAGTGCTTTGCGATACAAATGAGCAGGTATTGTAAATTATGAACGAATCTTTCAGCGGTGCGCGCATAACTTGAGATTTTGCTGTAGGGAAAAGGTAGAGCAGATCACTACTTTATAATTGGCGTGAGCGAACGCGAACGGAATATGCGGTGTATTCTCTGCAAAGGTAGTTATTATCCGCCGACAACTCCGCGGCCGGTAATTACTGAAATATCTATATCTGCACCTCTCTGCGAACCGGAGTCTGAGAAAACTGAGAAAGAACGTAAGCTATGGGAGATAGGAAGCAATCCGTTGGAAGAAACTGAGGCGATGTTAACTCTAATAGCGGTAGGTAATTCTTGAATGGCAATACACTTGTTTCTACTTTACTTTCGCAATTTAGTACTCTGGTACTTTAGAAATTTGGTACATTGAATCTTGCAATTATCTGCTATACTTAATTGATGGTTAATTGACGAATCTCTCGCAATTAGCTTGCCTGCAGAAACAATTCGGAATATCGCGCAGTGGACATTTGCGAACAAATTGCGTCGACAAAAGTGATAGACTTAGCCATACGGTATGCCTTGCGTGTAAATAAAATGGCATTGGCAAATAAATTGGAAACGATTGTTGATGCAAAATCGGATTTTAAAGATTCAAATGAAGAACGTATGGAAAACCAACAAGATTCTTTCACAACCAACGGTAATTCTAGCGTAGTTGATGATCAAGAGGAACACGATGTGTCTTTACCGCTCATTAAAAAAGCAGAGATAGAAATTAAGCCATTGGTCATGAGTCAAACGTTAAAAAGAGTAAACCCATTTTTAAAGGCCGAAAGCCCATCTCTATCGCGAAGAGGTAAATAATATATATTTTTTAATTCTATTACATTTTGCTGCATTATTACGAATATTTTCTTTTATTGTATCATTATAGGTTTAGCTGGATTGAACAGTTTACCAGAGAAGCCTCAAAAACCTGCCTTATCCAAAGTCGTGCCTGTTAAATCAAAATCGAAGACTGAGTCTAAGAAAGAATCGTTCGTTAATTGGTATGCTAAAAATAAGAAAAATCTGCAGGAAGAATTTCCCGAGGTGAATGTTGCCGAATTAACTAAAATCGGTTTAACGCGATACAAAGAGGAGGCGGCACAATCGAATGCAGACAACGCGGCTGGATCTTCAGAACTCTTCAAGAAACGAAAATTGTCCAGCCCAGACAACGAACATAGTAGCGAGGCAAAACGATCTGTTAGCAGCAAACTCAGTGAATTCGCATTCGACAAGTAAATTTTATTCGGTTACGAAAATTATTTTATCTGTGAAAATTGCAAGGCTTTTGGCAATTTAAGAGGAGTTTATTATATTTCCAAATTACTATCACGAAGAATAGCTTAAAGACAACAGATTTTAACAGGTTTCTTTCTTTAGGTACGTTTTTATATGCTTTTAGCCTCGCGTATCCTCAGGAAAACAAACAAAATTTCTAATGCGAGATAGATCGTAGGAATCCAAACATCTCTTCTAGCGTTTTAGAATTAAAGTATATATAATAAATTTTATTTATCGCATTTTTTATCAATTTTGATATTAAACTAACAATTGTAGAAACGTTCTTGTGTCTTTCCTTGTTTTTGTCTCGATGCGTATTTATATCATTGTGCCAGTTACGTGAAATTGTAAGGAAGCAAGGTTTGAAAGTAGTACCAACACTGCGAGTATCATCAATAACTCCGTATACTCGTAGGTGCAGAAGCGCGGAAGTCTCTGAGAAGGTGAGGCAGGTCATTTGTTAAAACGGCGAGAGGGTATTAACGCGATAAGTGGATAATGATTGGATATGAATTCGTGTCTTTCAAGTGTCGCAAGCGCACTGCCCCACGTTCACCCTTCCGCGCCGATAAGGCAGCGTGGTGGCAAACTTAAGATCCGTTTTTAGTTTGCTCCAGTCTCTCGGGCACTCGGCACCACGGCGATACGCGGTGGCGGAAATCACGTCGTCGTCGAAAATAAATTTGTGCTCGACGAAGACGGCGGGCGATCGGCCGCACGATGAAAGGTAAGTCGATCTTCTCGGGCCTCGCGAGCCTGTGACGGTAATTGTTCGCCTTCGAGACTCATCCGGAGAACTCGCCGCGCTAAATATACATCGGACGACAGCGAGTGTGCATAATGGCATGCGTGCCTTTAAATTGCATCATCACGATGTGCACGTGCCGTGCGACGGTTAATTTCCACGGTGTATAATCTCGCGGTGTATGGGCACTCACGTTTCTCATTTTAAATATGATGTATTGCGATAATAACGAGAGAATCGTGTAACTGATCGCCAATTCTTCATTAGTCTCTCCTCGTCTTTTTCAGCCGAACTGATAAAACGAAGCCAAATTTTTTTCATCATCTACATGTAATCAGTATTCCACTATCATTTAAGAAAGCATTTTGTTGCAAAAAACTGTGACCTTGCGATATAATGAAATTTTAAATAGGCCGCTGTCTTTTGCGCAAGACGTGATTACGTCGAATAACTTTTCTAATGTTATATATTATTTACATCATTTCGAACATTTCGATTATGCATTATCTGTTGCGAAACAAAATTAATTCTTAAATATATTTGGACAACCAAAAACTCCATTGATTACAATATGACGTATTGTACATTTGGTGATATTTCATATTGTATTTAATGTATTATATATATATACATAATTTGTACATACATATTGTAGTTCTTTGAAAATAAATCGGCATCTCCAATTATTGCCGAAATGAAATAATGTTTTAGTATCGATTGATTTATCGAAGATAATCTTAACTTTCCATAGTGAAGGAGGAAAGTTATCGCATCAATGTTAACATATGTTAATACTATTTTGCAGCGGAAATAATTGGTCGTGTAACAGATTTTTAATTCAAGAAAAATGCATCACGACATCGGGAAAAATTGGCGCGAAATCGGTAATCGTTAATGTTATTCGTTTGTGCAATGCTTATTTTTACGACGCTATTTTTATATACTTTAGTCAATGGCAAGTGCGTATATACCTGTTTGAATTTCGCTAAGAAACTTGCAGTCGCAGATAACATTTGCTAATTGTACTTCAATACTGTGCAAACGTATTACGCAAATCATTATAAAAAAGTTGCGTGTTTCTTATGTTTACGAGAGAATTCCTCGTATGTTCAAATGAAGAATTGAAAGGTAGTTCTGCAAAGAATTAGCCATAAGTTGACGCGGAGATTTTTTGTATTGATTAAAATCCATCGTTTTCCTGCCAAGGCGCGACTATACGTGCGTCACGTGCGTTTCTGTAGAACATGTGCATTTTCAACGCGGTAAACACTTCCATAGTTGAAAAATACATTGCGAGAGCAGGGAACTTAGTTTTCTCATTTACAGTTTAATTGTTTACACTAAATTTGTATCGTTGTGATAAGCAACGTTTTTTGCTAAACACTTATCTTTACGATACGTTCAAAACAATTATATCAAACGTACTTGAGTTTTGTCTCTGTAAACGTTAGAATTATATACATGTCTGTTTCGCGAGCCGTGCGGATAAGTCGACGCTGCAAATTTCGGATATTTCGTTCTTTCCTCGGATTCTCCAGCTAACTCTGACATAAACGATAATCTTTTTTATATGTGTAAAAACACATAAACAAAATTGATATTAAGCATTTTGTAATCTTGTACTATTGGCAACGCTATCATTTTTCGCGTCGATATAGTATTTAATCACCTATAACATGTCGCAATGAGTATGATCGAACTCTGTGACAGTGTTCTTGGTTTTTAATTTTTCGGAATAAATTGGTTGATATCATTTGCACATAAAGGTACGATTGTTTTTAAATGAAAACGGAAATGAAATGTATATATAACTTAACATAATTTACGTAACAGTATCTACTGATTGTGAGAAATATCTATCTTCAAGCAGAATGACCTATCATTTGAAGCGTGTAGATAAAGCATGTGTGTCATGGAAGCTTATTTAGCGAAACATTTGAACATGTCTATTTCGAGTAGCGGCTTGCGTGACTCATTAAAAATTTTCTTTTCTGAAAAGAAAAAGGAATCATTACCAAATAATTTATTTTCTTCTAATCATTAATTATCAAGTAAAATAGATGATTGTAATAATCAAGATAATTAATAACAAAGGCTACGCGCAATTCCTTTTCAATGATAATCTTTTTTTCTTATTTTTGCGTTGTTTGAAGCACAAAAGTACAAATTCCGTCAAAGTTCATTTAGGCGCCCTATAATTAGAGCCGGAATTCAGAATAGAATTCTATTTATAGTTTCACATTTACTGTGTGATACGACGAACAATTAAAGAGTCGGAAGATATGTGTAATATAAAATCTATAATGTTTTTTTAATTATTTAATAAACAATATATACTAAAATTTACTCACGCGTATTAAAATGCGCAAAGGAAAAAATTATATTATAGAATATATATATGTATAATAGAATGGAAATCTGATGCAAATTATAGATTATCTAAACTACATACGTTACAAATTGCAATAGACTTTTATTCCGAATCCCGACGTGTGTTGTAGATCATCTAAAATGACTTCAATTCTGCGTAACTTTATACGATTTGGATAAAACTGCTGCGCTAAGGTTTTGCTTGCGAGTCGTTGGCCAACGTCGGACAATTTTATATGTATCGGTGACATGATATGCTGTTATTGCAACACCGTTTTGCACATCTGCAACCGCATGTACATGGAATGCATACGGCGCAATAACATTAATTAACGTGCATGTCCTGTTAGCTTATACCGGTTCGAGAGTTTTATCGGTTACTGAAACGAATAATATCTTATCGGACTTTGAAACTCGAGGCGATAGCCGCAGTGTACCAAGTCACGTATCGACAGATGAAACGTGGAAAAGACTCATCTCATGATTTGCAAAAGAAAACAGCAGAAACCTGAGTTGAATTACAGCGGATTAATAATCAGATTTAGAATGTAAATTTTACTCCCACAAGAAAACGAAGAATTGCGTGGAAACGCGTACAGAAATAAATGATTTTGTCGCGAGTCGGGACTTTCCGCACTGCCGTTTCTACAATCGTTTAATGACAAAATTTTTCAAAATTTAACTTTGACGAAAATCTCTTGCGGAATTGAAAAAAAAAGAGATTTAGTTATACTAATTGTGTTTTGCATCATCTTCAATAGCTAAATCTTCTAAATGTGATAATTAAATATTGCTAATTACTAATTGCCACGTATTGTGCGGAAATGTCTTATTATTAGATTTGGTTTGTGGAGCTTGCGGTGTGTTTAGATTCGAGTCCAATATAGAGCGATCGATAGAAGCTAATGTCTCATCGAAACATTAATATCCCACACTCCGCTTAATTTCGCTTATTTTCAAGTAACGCGAAACATAGACAAAAAGTTTAGCAATTGCAAATTGTATTTAATAATTTTACACAATGATTGCGTGGATTAATTTGAGATGTAAAATATATTCTTCGTCCAACTCTGCGACTCAAATTATCGCGAATTGACGAAGATAAGATATGTCGTTATTTAATTTTAGTATTTAGCCAGCAGCACTATTTGGAGGAACCTACGGAGAGAAAAATGATATGTTAACTACAATCATGTATTCTTTGAGCGGATGAACTTGGAGGACTGCGAGAGACTACCGCAGAGCGTTTTATATCGAGTCCAGTTGGACATAGAATTGCAAAGAGTTAACTAAAAATTTTTTAAGTCACGTCAAGTAAAGTACTGTATGTTTTCTTTCAGGTCTCGTACCGTTGGACTCTGTTCAAGAGGCCATGGGCTCCATGGGGCCATGGCACATCGTCATCGCCGTGGCGATTTCCCTCGTCAAATTTCCAGTAGCTTGGCATCAGCTTTCCATCGTGTTTCTCGCGCCGCCTACTAATTTCTCATGTATCGCCCCTTTATCATCAACTAACGAATCCATGATAATGAAATGCGAAGTTGACGTTGGGAATGGTACCATAGAAAAGTGCACTGACTTCCGATACGATAAGCGGATATTCCGAGAGAGTATCATCACGCAGGTAAATTAATATGATTTAATTAAACGTGACTTTCTTATGTATATATTTCTTCTTCATTCAATTGATCAATTAATAATCACGAGAAAGTATTTAGAATAATTAAGAAGTACGTGAGAATAATAATACTATTATTATTTATCTTTGCAGTGGAACTTAGTATGTGATAGAGAGCAATTAGCGAATTTTGCACAATCTTGCACAATGTTCGGTGTGCTCGTTGGTAATTTAATTTTCAGCATGATGGCTGACAGGTATGTTAATTTGAATGTGCACAATATGATAACTTAAGCGGCTGTAATTTTATAAGTAAAAATATGAAATATTTTTTCACCTTACACTAATGAGAGACTTACTTATATCCGTTTGTATAGAATTGGCCGGAAGAAACCATTAATGATTGCAATCGCGTTGCAGTCGGTGACAGGATTCGCGTGTGCATTCGCACCGTGGTACGAATTGTTTCTTGTACTCAAATTCATTTGCGCCGTATCTACTGGCGGAACCATGCTCGTCAGCTTCGTTTTACGTGAGTCAAGCACAATTTATGAAAGCGTAATTTACAAAACTAATCAATCAACCGGTTGCAGTTATGGAGATTGTTGGAGTCGAATGGCGATCGACCATGTCGGTTCTTTTTCACGTGCCATTTTTAATTGGACATGTAATGAATCCCCTGATATCCTATTTGACACTTACGTGGTCTGGATTCCAAATGGCTATCTCAATACCGTCAATTTTCTTATTAGCGTACTATTGGTGCGTTAGATAAATATACGTATGCTGTTACGAAAGCGTTAAGATTCGCGAAATGTTGGGTGTCAGGAACCCAGTTATTAAGAGTCGATGTTTCGCATCCAAAATAGGGTTATTCCGGAATCACCGAGGTGGCTGTTAGCTATGGGCAAACACAGGCAAGCGGAACGTATTTTGCTGAAAGCTGCCGGCCGAAACAAGATACCGGTGGAAAACGTAAAGCTGGCGCTTGAAACTTATGAGAATCAGTCGACGGTCCGACACGCAAAGAGCAATGAAAAATACAATATCACGCATTTGTTTAGAACTTCTAATTTGAGACTGAAAACTATTTATGTGAGCGTCAACTGGTTCGTCTGTGGTATGTGTTTCTTCGGATTGGCGCAATACATGGGCCATCTTGACGGCGATATATTCGTTAACGTCGCAGTTTCTGGTAAAGTTTAATCTTATACATCTTAAGATTACGTTAAATTCTCCGATTGTGTGTCGTAACGTTTATTGTGATTTACAGCCGCCATGGAGATACCTGGAACTATAATAGTACTGTTTTTAATATCGCGAGTTTCGCGTTTAAAAATTATGATCAGTGGAAACATCTTGTCCGGCGTGAGTTTACTTCTGATAACTCTTATAACCAACGCAAACGTCCGGATATTTTTAGCCTCGCTAGGCCTCGTGGGTATGGCTATTAGCTTTCCCACAGTATACCTGTACAGTGGTGAAGTATTTCCGACTGTCGTGAGAAACGTTGGCGTTGGATTAGGAAGCATTTCTGCCAGAATCGGAAGTATAATTGCACCGTACATTGCCACAATGGTACTTTATGCGTATTTTTTTACAATGAAATAATTTAGTATATTATGTTAGTGACCTTATAAAAGTCTCATTTCTTATTTATGTCCAAGTGATGAATTTGTACTTTAAGATTAAGGAGACATAATGCAATAATTTACAGGGCACTATCCAAATCTGGCTGCCTCCAGTAATATTTGGATTGGGGCCGATAATAGGCGCCATACTCTGTTTATTTTTACCGGAAACAATGAACTGCGAGTTGCCAGAGACAATAGAAGATGCCGAAAATTTTGGAAAGTACGACGCTATACAATAAATACTATAAAACACTTCTATTAGTGTTACAAGTTTGTTAATATGCAACAAATCTTATATCTTTCAGGAAAAAAACCGAGGAAAAACATTGAATTGATGATTGATATGCGACATATGTTAATGCAACAAATCTTATATCTTTCAGGAAAAAAACCGAGGAAAAACATTGAATTGATGATTGATATGCGACATATGCACTGGATGGCACATAATCATTTTCCATAGTTAATATCTTATAGAAATATAATTTAGCATGACATGTTAAGTTCAGCTATTCAATATATTTTGTTTGTTAGTATTTTTTATCAAGTTATCAAATCTGTAACAAAGAATGGATTAAAATTCTTAAGTGAACTACAGTAACGCTTAAAAAGAAGAGAATTTTCATACATAATTTGTATGATTCATTGTATATATATATATGTATGTATGACCGATATACGATATCAATATTTTGTGCCACACAACAAATTTTACATAACAATTGTATATTTATATAACGTACATTGCATTTTATAATAACGTATAATTTTACAAATTCTCAACATTATTGCTTCTTAATGTAAAATTATTGTAAAGACGATATCTCGC